TGCAATATCGCTCAGGGAAGCCCTCTTGCTGAATTGATAATACGTTGTTCTTTGATAATATGGGATGAGGCTCCAATGATGCACAAGCATTGTTTCGAAGCTGTACAAGCAGCAAGATATTATGGGAGCAATTGATCCTTCTAAAAAGGATAAACCATTTGGAGGCAAATCAATCGTTTTTGGTGGAGATTTTTGACAAATTCTTCCTGTAATTCCGAAGGGTAGCCGTCAGGATATTGTGAATGCTACTATTAATGCTTCTGACATTTGGAGGAGTTGTACTGTGCTCAGGCTTACGAAGAACATGCGTCTACATAGTCTGAGAGATTCCGAGGAACGTGAAGAGGTTGCTCGGTTCGCTGAATGGATTGCGGGCATTGGTGATGGAACTATAGGAGGGTCAAACGATGGTTGTGCAATGATTGTCATACTTGAGGATATATTGCTTCAACCATCAGATGATCCAATTGCTCAAATTGTAGAAAACACGTATCCAATGTTCAAGCAGACAACCGATGATCCCAGTTATTTGAAGGACAGTGCAATATTAGCACCGACGCTTGATGTTGTTGAGTCCGTCAATGAGTACATGACATCGTTGAATTTATCAGACGGTAATACATACTTGAGCTCTGACAGTACTTGCAAGTCCACCTCCAATAATGATTTTCTTTCTGATATCCATACGCCCGAGTTCTTGTATAGCATCAAATGCTCGGGAATTCCTAATCATCAGTTGCATTTGAAGATTGGAACCCCCGTCATGTTGCTACGGAATAGGGATCATTCTATAGGTTTATGTAACGGGACACGGTTGGTTGTGACAAAACTATCCGCTCATGTTATTGAGTGTAAGATACTCACTGGCGATCATGAGGGCGATAAGGTATTGATTCCTAGAATGGCTATAACTCCTTCCGATGTCAGAATTCCTTTCAAGTTCCAGAGGCGACAGTTTCCTGTTATGGTATCGTATGCAATGACTATCAACAAGAGTCAGGGACAATCGCTATCTCATGTTGGTTTATTGCTTAAGAAGTCGGTGTTCAGTCATGGGCAATTATATGTTGCCGCTTCTTGTGTCACATATCGAAGTGAGTTGAAGATATTAGTGTGTAATGACGATGACTTGCCACCAAATCAAACCCAAAACGTTGTGTACAAAGAAGTGTTTACTAATTTATGAAGTTTTAAATTGATTATTTTCCATTTTATATATGTTACGTATCTCCAAAGTGCATTAAATTTAATGTTGATATTATAAAAAAACCCAAATAATATACCAGCCCGTGCATCGCACGGGTCAGTACTAGTTTGTATAAATGTACTTAGATTTAAAATCTCAGCTAATTTGATCAAATTTTAGTAATTGGTAAGCGATCTTTGTAGAAATTTGATCAAATTTAATACAAGCTCATAGCTACTACATAATGGCACTGCAAGGTCGTATTTAATAGATGCTATGAGTTGTGGCCTTAGGGAATTTTTTTAGTAATTTGTTTCACCACAAATTGATATAGTGAATAATTTCTCATTCAAGTTTGAGAAAATTCTCATATGTGATGTGTTTTATTCAGGTTTGATCTAGAGGAACCCTTTGGCGGGGAGTTTACAACTTTTGTTGGTCTAGGAGAGTGTATCAGGTTAATTGGTAATTTTAGATTTACCAAAGATGAGATTGATTTTATCCAAGCCTCCTTACCTTGCTTACACCAGGTATATTGATTCAGTAAGTTTAATGTCTATGAAGTTGAGATGGTTACTTATCTCATTTTTTCAATGGTTAATTCCTTCTAATTTTTTGCTAGGTATCTTTTATTTTCAGGGTGAAGATTTTAATAATGATTCCCTCCTTTACCACAAAATCATAATATTAACCAATGCAGACGTTGATAGTACTCACATACGGACATTGTTGTTGACATTTTTCTTTCGCTATCAGGTGATATTTTTGGTAACATTTGTTTTAATTTTATTTATTTTAATGAATTTTGATGGCTATATTTTACACAAATTACATGCAGAGAGCTTTGTCCGATGAAGGTTGTATCTATATTGGAATCCCACCTCTATATAAGGTGCTGAGACGATTTCCAATTATATTTTTTATTTTTTTATTTCCAATTTTAATATGACTAAAGTTCCAGAAATTCACAGTTTAGAGAGTCATTTATGATAAGACAGTTAAGGCCCTTTTGGCTTCACATATGATGTCATTATTGATAGGTAAAGGATTGTTATTCCCGGAGAACAACTCTCTGAAGTTGAATTTTGTCAATAATTTGAAAGCAGGTGTTGGTTGTGTCATGTGTCAATAAATGGTGAGATAGGAACACAAATTGCTCTTAAGAATCAACCTGGTCGAAAGCCAAAATAATAGAAATAAAATTGTCTGTGGAGAAATTGCTTTTTATTTTAGAAAAAAAAATCTTTGGTTTGAGAGTTCTTGTTATATATGAGGTGGTTGCATTGGCTATTTAATTGCTGGAGAAATTGGACTTTGGAATTTACGGTCAATTTTCTTTTTCGTGGGAAGAGTCGGTTCAGATAGACCTTAAAAATTAGAATATCTCCAAGGATTTAGCAGTGGATAGGAGCGCTTGGAGGCTAGCGATCAACGTGCCGGATCCGTGACTTTTGCTCCTCTCTCTTTTGCTCCAATCTCTTTTTTTTTTTTTTTTTTTCCTTACCACTGTTTCTATTGGGTTTCATCTCTAGCCTACTTCAACTTGTTTGGGACTAAAAGGCTTTGTTGTTGTTAGTTGTTGTTGTTGTTGTTATTGTGTATTTGTGTTCCTGCCATATTTGAGTTTAGTATTCTGTAATTTTTTGGGGTGCTTGATGTGAATATGCTTAGTGTGGCTCTTATTTGTGTCTTGTTTCGTTTTTTTCTTCTGTCATTAGTTTCGGCGTTGTTACAGGTATGTTTGCTTTCTTAATATAGAAAAGGTAATTTGGACGTTACAGATACGTGCGGTCGAAACTTTTAAGGAAATCGAGGCATGTGGCGGCGGTACAACTGGTAATAGGGCTCCCAATTTGCCGAACTTAATTTCTATAACTCATTTTGTATTCCAAAACAAA